AGGCACCTTGGTGTGCATATGTTACAGGTTTTAACTCCATCATGAAAATATGACAACATTTCACATCAAACTAAATACCACTCTTGGCATGCAGTTAACATCCCTTTCAGCAATATCATGAAACTGAGGTCTTAGTAAGTTTTGGTTAAACTGGTTCTCTGTCTACCCAAGCAGCTGCCTGGCTATTTATTTTCATCTATTTCTTAAAGTTCTATAGGATTCAAGAGTAAATGTGTTCTTTCTTTTTTTTTTTTCTTTTCACTGTTATATTTATACAGGAAACAGGATGTGAACCTAAATATCATCTTTTTTGTAATTTTCAATTTAGCTCCTAGCAATGCTCCAGACATAACAGCACCTGTGTGACACCTGTACAATGCAGAGGACACTTCACACACGTTTAATACACAGTCTGCATGCTAACTCTACTCCTACAAAGACAAAACACTTGTTACAACACATGTTACCTTACAGCAGTACAATGAATGTTTGTGTATGACCGCGACGTGATTTCCTACACGTATGCGTGCACGGTGTAGCAATCTCTTTAATATCTAACTACTGCACGACACGTCACATTTTGTCTTCGCGTGTGCTGCTGTGTACCTTTGTACTTGCAGATTCAATTCCATCCACTGTCGTGCTCACGTCATGTATCTTTTGTTCAAAATTATAAATCTTTTCTCCATTTCATTGTTCTCTGCACAGCAGTAGACATATTAATTAAAATCAAAGAGCATTCAGAATATCATAAAGTTCAAGTGACAATTCTGTCAAGACTCAATCAGATTCTGTATTTCTTAGTTCTGACATTTAAGCACTTCCCATGTTAACTTCAACAAACAGAATTCAAGGACCACACACCTCACCCACACTGATGTTATTTCACTGTCAAATCAGTTCACTACCCTCTAAACAATGACAACCACCTGCAAGTTTTCTCAATCGATAAAAAGATCTTACTGAATTTATGTTACAATATGACCAAACATCACATCAGTATTTCTTTTCACCTAAAAAACTTTCTTTAGTATTCTTTATCAATGCCACTTGACTCCTTCACATTCGGGCTAAATAAAAGCTTGGTTTAGACTAAAGCAATATAAAATTATAATTCTACAAAATAAAAGCAGATTTCTATCTTTTCACATTTCCTGTCACACGAAAAAAGACAAAATCAGATTTTTTTCAAATGACTAATAATCTTCCTCTAAAATCAGCATGAATCATTCTCTAGATAGAATCTAATAATGGGTCTTGTTGCGGATTTTCAAAAAAGTACTCCTTTGATTTACAAGAATAAAACAGCAAAGAATATCAATAAACTTCAAGTCAAGATGACCAAATGTTTTTAATGCAATAATCTCATTATATCTCCCAGAGTGTCCAGATGGGTTTTTCCGCTATGCCCTGTCCTGCTACAAGTTTGTGAATATGACAGCCAACTGGCCTAATGCAGAGGCTCACTGCCAGGGGCTGCACCCCAAGTCCCACCTGGTGGGGGTGGAGACCAAGGAGGAAAACGAGTTTATTTTGTCATATAGGAAATATAATCAAGGTAAGAATGCCATTTAACTTGTTTTAAACAAAGTTTAATGGCATTAACAAAAACAGCATTTTCATCCCTGAAGGCAATGGTATAACTACGCAATCCATTTTTGTATCAGATTCTGCACTTTTTGAAAAGATAATATTTTAAGTAGTACCCTTAAAATTTCAAGGTAAAAGCACCTATCTTTCATTTTATCTGTTCAGATAATAAGAATTCTCAATATTTGCATAATGCTATATTGTTTTCATTCTCAGCCAAGTGGACAAGCCCATGGTTCTGGACAGGAGGCACAGACAAGGAGAAGGAGGGAGACTGGAGGTGGATTGGAACAGGTCAGAAACTAACCTACACCTACTGGACCCCGCACGAGCCCAATGACCACACTGGACGCCAGAACTGCCTCTACTACACAGCCTCAGGGAACCAGACCTGGGACGACTGGAACTGTGAAAACCTTTACATCAACTTTGTGTGTGAGATAGAGTTAGAACAAAACCAATAAGATGGGTGCTGAAACCTGTACTATAACTGTGTGTGAACTAGACTTAAAAACCAATGAGATAATGTAGGCAATAGTCATAGAAAGTATACAATTGACTTTGGGTATGATCATAGTAAGTTGGACCAAATCAAAGAGATCACATTTTGCTTAAGTTGCTCATATTTCTACTCTGTTATGTATGATAGAGATGTAGCATGTTCAATCGATTGAAGTCAAAGAGTTTTGGGTCAACTTTTGAAGTTAATGCCAGCTGGAATAATTTCAATTAAGAGAAATGTGATCATGTCACACAATGGTTATCATCTTTGGTTCTTTGTATGATGTCATGTTAAACAATATTTCGGTCTTTTGAAGTTGACATGATGTCATCATCAAAAGCCAGGATTGCCAGGTCAACATGTTAACACCCACTCTATGTATTTTTTTATTATCATTCCCCCTTTGTTCTCATGAGCTATTCTATTGTCATAGACATGATACAATGTATCCAGACATTTTGGGAATTATAACACTGGCAACCATACAAAGCAACTTCAGCTGCAATCTCTATCTTATAATGAGAGGGAACTAAAACTAAAGAGCAACTGGCAAAACAATGAGACTGTTTCTAGCTGTTTACAAGAAATCATGCCATGCCTGTACATGAAATATTTGTTAGCAATGGAATTCAATTCTTCACTGCAGCACCATATATCTCTTTGTTGAAATATTTTGGATGTGTGTATAAATATAGTTGTTGAACAGGTATATTTAATTATTTGTATACAAAAGCTTTAAATTAGATATAAAGAATTATGTATACGCTAGCTTATCATTTTTAAAATCAATCTGTGTGCAGCAGGTTTAGATTCATAATGCTTCATAATATTTTATAAAAGAAATCCTTAGCAAGAAACTTAAATATTGATCAAATTTCTTATTATTTACCTCAGTATTTATAAAACCCATGGCATCATGAGCAGGGCATGCTTTAAATCCATGTTATAAACTATCAAATACAAATATTATTATATCATATCATAGAAACAAACTGTTTTTAAAACCAATCCTGATGACAAAAACCTTAATGGAATAATCATTTTCGATAATTTCCTTAGATGAAAGGGATTTTGTCGTAGCTTTGAGACAGTCTTCTACTGCATCCTACATTTGTATATACCATGGATTATACTTGTGATATAGTGAACAAAATAAAGACAAATACAAATATTTTAAAAGCTTAATCTGACCTAATGGTGTCATGTATTTCACAATCAAAAACCAAATCATATCTGAATTGTGTCACAACCTGAAAATCACACAAAAAAATTCAAATTCATATTTTCATGAAACAATCCATGTTTTCATAATGCCACACTACAATATAACAACATTAAAAACAATCTGTCACATCAAACCAGAAAAAATGCTTTAAAAATACATACATTAACAATACTAATAATAAAAATAATAAAACAAGTAACAATAACAATAATAATAGTTAAAAACAATTTAGCCCGATTCCTCACAGTCTTCAAACCATCAATTTTCTCAAATGATTGCAATACATTATGCTCACACTGTCATAAACAACTTATACAAATTTGACTAATGACCCAGCTTTCACTGCCATCAACCAGACTAAAGTCTCCATGCAAAACTCACCTTCCTCCTGAGAGTCTTGTATCTTATGAAGCAGGGCAAGAATGAGGTCTGTGTCCACCTTGTCATCATCAAAGCTGTGGTGATAGAGGTTCAGCAGCTGTTTATCCTCCTCACTTACTGTCATCTCTGTTTCCTTGAGAAGATCCTCATCATCTCCCTCCTCACCCTCCTCACTTGTTGTCCTGAGTGAGGAATAGGTGTAAGTTTTAGTTCTTAACTAATGAGGAGATCTATTCTCTCAGCTCTAAAATTCTATTTACAATAAACATACAAATACAAGGAATGCATATAATGAAAGCTAAGCTGAATAAAGTCAAATTAATCAAAAAATTTAATTAACAATATTTTTGTAGATTTGGGGTCAATACAGTAAGTGCTAGTAAGTAAAGGAAAATTAAAAACAAAAAATTTATAAATAATTATTATGTATCAAATTAATCAAAATATCCCTTAAGTCACACAAAGTCCATGCTCACATGTAGGCTTTTAGAATCTCAATGACATCTGCCCTCTCAAACTTTTCAGCCCAGTTCAGAGCATTCCATCCATTTGAGGCCTTGATCTTAATGTTGGCCCCAAGATTCAGGAGTTGTTCCACAACTGAAGTGAAGCCCCTGGCCGCAGCTATCATCAGTGGGGTGGCACTGGTCTCAGAGTGCATGTAGTCCACTGAGGAAGACAGAATGACAGTGACATATAATGAGGAAACTTTTACTACTTTGATAAGAATATTTATAAATCTATAAGAATATATCAGAATTTTCAGTATTCCAGTATTTGGATAAAAGGCTGTTTACTTTGTCTTATGATTATAGCAATACCTGCACTTTCATAGCAATTTTACAAAACACCCATATAAATGTGCACTTCTGTAAATTATCAAAAAAGACGCATCCAAGTTAAAAATTCACATTGGTCAAATTTTAACAAAATGTAGCCCTAGTTTATCTGAACACTTGAAGTCAATATCTTACCAGTGACATCCTCACTCATAATGAGATGGAAGATCTGTGTGAAGATGTCCTCTTCTCCTGTCAGCCAGGCCTCAGTTAGCAGTTTGTCCATCTCAGTCACCAGCCATGGCTCTAATTCTTCTTTCTCTGGGCCAAGCTGGTTTATAACATATTAAAAGAATTCATTTGTAACTAAAAATGTATTTTTGGTAGAAAAAGGCAGTGAAAGAAAAGTAGGTTCCCAAAAGATTGGGATGACTTAATTGTCAAAATTTTGTGATCTAAAAAAGTTGTACAAAGGTGTTTTCCCTTTCTTTATTACTATCACAAGACAGTGACCTTTCTCAGCTGCATGTTCCCCAGAAACTAGTATTGTATATATGCTATATGGGGAATGGAAGTGAAAGAGAGATATCATATTTGTGTCAAGTTAATTATTTTCTCATACTAACCTTGTCTACTTCTATACCATCATCTCTGTCTTCTATCACTCCACTGTCCTCCAGTACAGACTCTTCAGGTTCTGCTCTTTCAGCACTTGGCTGCTGGTTACACCACTGGTCTAGATGGCGCTGCTGCTCAGCAACTTTTTCTAATTCACTCTTGTACTTGATCATTTTCTTGTTTGTATACCCAGTCCTGGAACAGTGAATTAGCAGAAAAAAGTTGCAAAAATATGTAACATCTTTTTGAAATTATCACAAGAAAGCTTTACCAGCACCTACTTATACAAATACTTCCGGTAAATATATTGTCACTTTCCAATGGGTTCATTTAACAAGGCAGCAAAGCTGTCAAATGTACAGACAAAGAACAGAAAATAAAGATGCAAATAAGTCAAAAAATTGTTAAATTGCCAGAAAAATTTACCAAACAGACTGCGTTGCCTATTGAAGCTGTATGTTAGACCCATGTTTCTTTCCTGTAAGTTTGAGAACAGTAAGTGACATGATTTCCCTTAAATGGTCAGCATAGGAGCAGTGCCCAAAATAGGGGTTTCTTCAAATTTTGATGCAACATTACATAATGTTTAACAGCATAATGACAATCAAATGTTATTAATAAAATATTAGTAACATGGACATTCAGAAAATGTGACAAGCAAAAGTCTTCAAGATCATGGAACTTTAAAGTCACACCTTGAAAATGCCAATATGTGAAAAATTAAATTTTCACAAAAAACTGTTTAACTGCCAAAAAAAA